GAACTCACCAAGGTAGTTGCGTGTGGCCACTGTTTCCCTGATGCTGATGGTGGTGGCTCCAACAGGGATGATGAACATCTGGTTGTAGCCTGAGATAAAAATTAGACAAAGCTCCTGTCAAACATACAAACAAAATGCTACAAACCCAGACTGAAGAAATCTCTTTCTCTTTCTAGTACCTCTGTGATAAAGTGGGAAATTTGCTGTTGTGACAAATGAAATGATTGAAAACATCTATTAGTGTGTTCTCCAAGATACAAATGTACAGCGTACCAGTTGGCAGATCGCGTACAGAGAAGCTGTTCTTGACAGGGTAGCAGGACTGTCCGTTACCCCCACACTGCAGGCAGGGGTCTTCCTGCTGAGGAGACTCCAACATGTTGTCACAGCCCAGACGCTGGAGAAAGAAAAAGTAGAGAAACGTTTCATAAACAAAAGTATGATTGGAGCCAGAGTTGCAGTGATGTTTCCTTGCAGAGATATGGAGATGATATTGTCCTTTTTCAGTGTCACTTAGTTTTCTGCTGCAGATATCAGCGGTTCCTCGCTGAATGCAGATTTTTCTAACAGTTTGCCAAACCTTCAATCATGATTCAGTGTGTTGTGTTCTTGCATTCGTCTCCATCACTTTGGAGTTTTAATGGATATTTTTAGTGTCTAGTGATGATCTAAAGGCTTAGAGAGGTTTCCATAAAAAATGTTAAAGATTTAGAGAAATGCTTATAAATAGTGTAAATGAAATATTAGTATTAGCTGTAACTAATGAGTATTTCAATTTTATTCTACTTTATAGTTCTACTCCACTACATTTATCTGACAGCTGGTGTTACTACTTAAGAGTAAGTATAATATTTTTGTAGTAAGATTTTACAAATAAAACATGACTATAATAATAAATCTATCAAATATGATCATGTGTTAGTGATTAAACTATCCAATAGTATATAAAGTAATTAAAAGATGCTCCATCTCCACCAGCTGTCGCATTAAAATGCTGTAATAATCAGTAATAATTTTCCAATAATATGATATATAACTATTTGAAATGGACCCCAAAAAGTACATTCAGCTGTTAATACTTTTTACTTTTTCTTCAGTGAAATCTTTACTTGTATTTGTATGTTTACAGAGTAAAAGTTTCTTCCACCTCTGCATTTACTTACCAGTGTTACCCTATTTATCCCATTTTATAGGGAGGGAGGTGACCAAGCAAGTAATATATGCACAAAAATATAATTTGCACAAAAAAACAACAACAAGTGCTGAGTCAACACTACCACAGAAACCCTTGAAAAGGCAGAAGTCCAATCACAGAATAGCCAGTTCAGGGGCCAAACCAATATAAAGCCTGATTTAACATTTAACAAGGTGTTGGAGACGTTAAATTTGTGGGCGCACACTGTTTCTGTGAAAGTATAATCCTAAAACATGAACAAAAACTTCTTTAGCTGGAGGAATAGTGTGATACGTTTAAAAAAAGTAAAGGAACAACAATAAGGGTAAAAAATAAGACCCTGTTCTCAGAGTGGAGTTTGGGTTTTGGACAGCTGCTCCCCACAGAGGAGGTGATAAAGACATGATGACAGGGGTTAAATAGAGGAGGTGTTTCATGAGGAAAAAGTTGCAGCGATAATTACATGAGAACAGAATGAGAGCAGAAAAAGTGTTTGACATTACCACATAGTGAAACTAATCCTCTGACTGTGTCCACTCTCATTAATGAAATAACGCTGTAAACCAGTAGTTTGTGCGCCATTAAACTCTGAGATATTTTATTCCTATGACTTTGACTTAATGGAGAGACTAATCCTGTCATTAGATAAATTCTGCAACACAGATTAGTGATTGAGCCTAACAATTAATTAACAATTACATGATATGAGGGAAAGAAAACCTTGCAAAATTAGGACAGTAAAACAAACCTTCAATGGCAATTGCCATGCTGGGTTAAGATGGTGCACTTCTGGCTTTACCATTGTTATCAGATGTGTTAAATTTTCTGTTTGCGGAACTTACTTTGCGACTCCATCCACACAAACATCCCTCCGCCCAGGGTGGCAGGGTGTACCGTCAACCACAGCGCTGCGGTGACGATAGTAAAAGTTTTCTCCTCTTGGCATGCAGTTCAGCTCACAGGGGTTCTCAGCTGTCAGAGATTTTAGAATAAATGTGAGCTCTCTCAATTCATATCCCAATTTTACCTCAGTTTTTCCTGCTACTTTTACTTTGATTCTGACCTCCATAGTATGGGAGCCACTTGTAGCGTTTCCCCTGGAAGTCAGTCCCATCAAACTGGGAGCACTGCTCTTCACGGAAATCCTTGGATCCCTCAGGACAGTCCTGAGTGGAACAATGGCAGGCAGCAGAGGGATCAAAGAACAATTAAACAGAAATACTTCAAACATAAATATATCTGGTTTATTTACAGATGATACGTTAATTTAGTTTAATGATTGTTGTCTTTCATCCTAATGAAGGTTATAGATTTATCAAAGGCATAAGCATGTTTATAGGCCTGCCCTGATTATGAAATAATAATAATAAAAAACTTTGTAGTTTGTGTACCTGGATGTTGCAGGAGCGGTAAGACTTGTCTGGTCCCACACAGTTGTGTCCTCCATCAGTCCTGTGTGTAAAAAATAAAGCAGAAATATTAGACGCTATTGGCAGATCGATGAACCCTGATGCTTGACCTGTTGTAGAGACAGAATTTTCCACATTATCTTCTTAAAGCACAAGGATGAAGTAGCCTCTCACAAAGCTGAATGGAGAAGAAAAGTGACGTCTTATCTTTGTGAGTTAAAACTTCTGTAATATATGAAGCCACTCATTTTTAGCGGGATACTCCACTGATTTAGTATTTAGTTGGTTTAGGGTTAGGGTTAGGTGACCTGTTGGAGAAGTAGCCAAAGCCGAGATATCCTGACGCAAATTAAAATGATAGAATATTATATTCCATTTCTGACAACTGATCCTAAATGTTCCCTACTGGGCCTTGAACTCAAACTGAGATAACATTGATGACATTAGCAGGGTTATGTTTTTTCAGACCTCCAGAGACACAGACGACATCCTGAACTGTTTTCACATGATGAGTAGAACTCCTCATTATATGTAAACTGACATTCATGTATAAAACCAGGGCAGTGACCCTTAAAGCTAAAAATATGTACTTTCAGTACTTTATCGGTGCTGTAAAAAAAACAGCTTTTGCATCTTTTCCGACTGAAGTTTCATTAAAACTTTACGTGATGCAGAAACAGGTAATGACTAGGTGAGGCTGCAGCGGATATATGCAAATACAGCTCAGACTGTCTGTGAGTGCAGAAATAACAAGTTTCAGCTCTGACATTAAGTGGCATTCCTCTTTAATCTGTGCCTTAAAAAAAAAAGCAAGCTCTCAGCAGAAGCCTCAACATCATCACTGTTGAGCCTAAAACTCGCACAAACATCGGTGAACCGTGAGACAGCAGATTGTTTTGCCTCCCTCCCTTCCAGCCATGCTGATAACTCATGATTAAGTCACCTCCAAAAGTACCTGCCCTTAAGCCTAAAAACAAGACACGCTCTTGTCAGCACGCCAAACCTGAAACTAAAACATGTCCAAACGCTCAGTGACAACATCCAGCCTTCAACTTTTCACCTGGGAATGAAAAATAAACATTTGGAGCATAAAAAAACATTACTTTCAATTTAAAATGATACATGACAAAAAGATTGGAAAAGTGATGGTTATTCACGCAAATTTATCGATCACACAAAATTAAAATAGATTACAGACCATGACTGACTAAATGACAAGCTTAATCCCACTTGCAACACTTTAAAGTGTGAGCCATTTGGAAGGAGGTCAGGGAATTTTATACTAAAATGAATGTTGGGAAAAATGGGAGTTCCTGTAAAGCACACAATGAGTCAACAGCTGTCTAATCATAGTATTTAAAGGTGTGATCCTGGCAAACCTGGCAGACAAGATATGACAGAGTTCATCCTTTAGGTAACGGTGGCCAAGACTGTTATTCATCATTGAGCTAAAGAGGGGAAACTCACTGACTGACTATCTGACTCATTGACTGACTGCATGGACAAGCTGGAAACCGGCATCTAATGGAGCATCAATAGACAGTTCACTCTGTCAAACACTCGACATACAGTAGATCTATCAGGGCTCACTTTATTCTGCACAGGCTGTTTTTCCTTATTGTGTAAATGTGAAAAACTAAATTTTCCTGCAGTTTCCCTCACATAAAGGCAACAAAAAAACATCAAACAAGGTGATTTAGAAAACTGTTTGGACATGTTAAAGAAACAGCTCATTATATGTTCTGCCTGGTGGGCATCTTTCTTGTCCTCTTTTTATCAGATCCCCTCACAGTTATTGCTTAATAACAGAGATACACCTACAAACACTTTATGACCAGAATTACTGTAAACACAAAAAAATGCAGCTGATGAATGACAGATGACTTTTCGTTACAAAACTTGTTAACTGTTCAGAGGAAATCCCAGCATTGATATGGGTTTAAGAACTGTAGTATGGAGTATTTGTATTTTTGCTACTTTACACTTACCCTGCTAAATTTCAAAAGCTAATTTATCTGCCCTCTGTAGTTACGGCATATTTTACAGATTTGAATATTACATTACCAAAAAATAATATAAGCTTTTATTATGCATTTTTTTTAATCTAGGGTCTTCCAAACTTTTTGACCTTTACTAAATAAGTGTCTAGTTAGAGCCACAATTTCGGATGTCTCTGAGTTGTTAGCAGTTCCACCAAAGACAGAATAATCCTTTAAACATCTCAGATGGTTTCATTTAAATGACTGACTTATTTCACAAAAAGCAAAGATTAAAGAAAGGTCCAAAGAGTTATTGTGACCCACTAGAGGAACCTTCCACCTACTGTATGTTGGGAACAACAGGACAAACCAGCTACAAAATGCTGAAAATCTATATATAACAATATATCAGTCACAGGGGCTAGTTTTCTGCAGAACAAATACTTTCACTTCTGATACTTAAAGCAATTTTTGCTGCTCATACTTTCATACTGTCACTCAAGTAAGTTTTGAATGCAGGATTTTTTGCTTGTAATGGAGTATTTTTGCATTAATGTCACTTCCACTTAAGTAGAAGGTCTGAATATTTTGTGATGAACCAACATAAGACACACACCACTTCCCACCTTGTGAATACACATCGCTTTATGTGTTGCATGAGGCAACATGCCGGCTGGATTCCAGCAATATGAGCTACCAACAGAGCATTTACAGTGTAAGCTGGCAACAACAAGCGAGCATGACTTTATCACTCGTCACTCTGTCCTGTTTAGTCAGACGTAAAGAGAAGCAGATTTATAAGCCAACCTAAAAATGGACTGAAAACCATATTTAAAGACGTGATACTTTAAAAAATCATATGCAGCAAGGGAAGAAGATTCTTTTCAAACCACTTCTGAAATCTTTTTCAGTCTAAAAAGGGCAGATAGAAATATTCACTCCCCATCTGATCCTCTTCAGCAGCGAGCGGGCAACACCCAGCAAAGAGAAGTCCTTTTAATGTTAAAGGGCCCCTCCCTGCAGTCTGCTTTGGATGTAAGACAAGCCCACATCCTCGTGACTTCAAGGCATTCTTTTAAAATCAAGATACAGTCTGTGCCCATGAACCTCACAATTAGCTTTATTCACACAGGAAAAAAAACCCTGTGTGTGTATTCAGGGCTTCACAATGGACTGAGTTTGTCAAAGACAGGCTGGCTGTGAGTCCGTGTGTAGTGTGTGTGTTTATACAGCTATGTTTATAGATATGTAGGTGCATTAGAAACAGATAAATAAAGGCAGGAGACATACCTGTGGGTGATACAGCGTCTGGTTCTCAAGGTCACACCGCTGCCACAACTACGGCTGCATTCTCCATAAGGACCCCACGTGTCCCAGTGATCCACACCGGGCACCTGCACACAATACAGCAGTTTATACATCCCAGTGTAACATTCCACTTTCCTTTCAAACCAAATCTCAATGAGTTTTAAAGTTCATTCTCTGCCTCAGAAACAGCAAAAGTTTTAAAGGTCAAGAATCAAATTTAAAGCATATTTAAAGGACCAGTGTGCAGGATTTAGTGGCATCTAGCCAAGCATGTAGGAGAGACTACAGTGGCAGCAAAAGTTGTGCAAAACGCGAAAGGCCCTTTCTGGAGCCAGGGTCTGGTTTGTCCATGAATACTATATTCAGTATTCTCCTAAATGTTGCACACTGCACCTTTACGCAAACATAGACAAGAAAACACTAAAGTTTGTCAGAAATATTTTAATCTGAACAACTACTATTAGGTAACAAAGGACGAAGATTGTGTGATATGATTGAAAGCTCCGGACAGTAACCAAATGGAGCTTGAGGTGAGATTGTTTTGTCCACCAAATCTAACATATTATACTACTATACATGTATGTTTCTGGACCATCCCCTCTGCACCGTCGTAAGTTTGATATCTCAGGTTTTGGTGGTGACTTTGTCTGCAGCTTTCATTGTTTTTTATTAGTGTGCGTTCATTTTCAGTGGAACCTCATGGGAGTTTACCGTGAGTGCTGGAGCCAAGAGCAGCTGAAGGATTACCAGAGGCAGCAGCATCTTCATTGTTTCCTGGGAGAAGAAAAAAAGATGAGACATCCAGAGTTAGTCACTGTGACTAATAGAGGCTGTTACACATTGAGCAACTTTTCCAGAAGCAAGCCAGGATAACAAGAGCGGAAACTGTAATTGATATGAGATACAGGCCAACACATACAACAGGACTGAAGAGATTGAGCAACCTGAACCTTGTAGCTGAACCAACAACAGTAAACACAAACCCTGCAGCGTTTAGTATATGAATCAGTTATCAATCAGTAGTCATGATTTCATTGTAGATCTTTAAGCAGATCATCAAGCTGAACGTACACAGTCACTGATGCAACGGCATGTCCTGTGGTTTGGTTTGCAGCCACCAACCACAGCAGATATTCAACAGCTGGATCGGCATCTGTTGGTTTGGTTAGTAATGTTTATATCCATTGATAAAAACCTTGTGTGTCAATTTGAGCTTTAGTTAATCCGACCGTCACACGCTGTGTCCTTGGTGTATCAAA